AGTACATAAATTTCATTTATGTACTGTATTGCATGACCGCGCAGTTGCCGTTAAACTAGTGCAGCTCTGTATAGCAAAAAAATTGCGTAAATCGCAGTATCTATACCATAGTTTGTAGATGCTATAACTTTCACACAAAGCAATCAATATACACTTATTGGAATTTTTTTTTACCAAAAACATGTAGCAGAATACATTTTGGCCTAAATTTATAACTAACTTTGAGTTTACTATACATTTTTTATAGCTGAAAATAAAAAATATTGTTTTTCTTCAAAATTTTTGGTCTCTTTTTGTTTATAGTGCAAAAAAATAAAAAGCGCACGTGAGCAAATACCACAGAAAGAAAGCTCTATTTGTGTGAAAAAAAGGACGTACATTTAATTTGGGTACAGCATTGCATAACCGCACAATTATCAGTTGAATAGCAAAAAGAGGCCTGGTCATTAAGGAGGGTAAATCCTCTGGAGGGCAAGTGGATAAAGTCAGACCCAATTCCCTTAACCACTTCCTGACCAGCCGTTGTATATAAATGGCCGGACGGTGGCACTGCAGGGTCGGGTGGCCGTTTATAAACGGCCTCCCCGCACCCTGTTTGTGTGCACTCCCCGGGAGCGCGCTGCACCGCGATCCGGTGCCCGCTGTGTCCTCCTGACAAAGTGAAACACCGATCGTCGGACGGGACCTCTGTACGAGGTCCCGATCATGTGATCACTGATTGGCCAATCAGTGATCACATGCAAAGTAGTAAGCAAGATGTCACTTGTGACATCATTGCTTTCTACGTGTGAAATCTGTGAATGATCACAGAGGTCACATGGTACAAGGTTATTCACAACAGCTTGTACCATGTGACAAGCTGTGACCAATCACAGCTCACTCAGTAGTTCTCAATGGCTGCAAGAATGCAGGCAAAGAGAAATGATTGCTTTTACATCCTATATGGGCGTAAAAGCAGTGTAAAAAAAAAAAAAAATCTTCATCACCCCCCAAAAGTAGTACAGTGTCACCATGGTGACACTGTACTGCTAGGGTGTCAGTATGTAAAAAAAAAAAAAAAAATAAAATAAATAATAATATAAAAAATAAAAATGTAAAAAAAAATATTTAAAAATGATAATTTTTGGTTATAAACTAATTTGGCTTATTTTTTTTTTACTAAAAAGATAATGGAATACATTTTGGCCAAGATGTATGATGAAATATTATTTATTTGCAAAATTTTATAAGAAAAACACTTTTTTTCAAAATTTTTGGACTTTCATTTACATAGCAAAAAAAAATAAAAATCCCAGCGGTGAATAAATACCACCAAAATGAAGTTTTATTTGTCTCAAAAAAAATGGTAAAAAATTCATATGGGTACAGTGTTGCATGACTGAGCAATTGTCATTCAAAGTGTGATAGCGCTGAAAGATGAAAATTGCCGTGGTCAGGAAGGGGGTAAAAGTGTCCGGACTGGAAGTGGTTAAAACAGAGAACCTAGAAAAGAGAATTATACCCATGTGGGGTTGTTTTGTTTTCTAATTTTAAGGATCACCCTACTGTCTGACTTTTCAGATAAATGGGAGTATTAATGGGACAGGAGTAGGCAGAGTAATCTGCAGCACTGTGTTTTGCACAGATTAAATTAAAGTCCCAGTATGCCACAGTACATTGATATAGGAAAGGCTTTAATTTAATTGTTGGAGACCGCACTGTGGAGGATTACTCTACCTGCACCCAAAAGGCATTAAATAGTCGCCTGCTGTATTGGCGGGGTTGGGCCTGGTACAGGAAGGCTGACACTACCCCCTTGTACTATATATACTGTATATACACTCTACATTAAAATGAGTTCTTGGCTTGCCCTCAAGGAGTTTAATTTTACTTTCTAAAGTCCCTATCATACTTACATACATACACACACACACGTGCACACATATACACACACACACTCATCATACTGAAGTCTCACTATTGTAATTACCTCCTATGAAACCATCCAGTGAACACTCATACATTTCTTGCATTCCTCAATGACAACTTTCCCAATTTCCTTCACTTGGTGACAATAACAATATGAATCTTGTTCAAACTTATAATTCTAACCCTTATAGGTTTGTGCAACACCAATCTGTGCCAGACTTCCTCTTCGTGATCACCAACTCTAAATATTCAATAGAGAAGATGGGACTTTCAGGGTACATGAACATGAATACCAAACATTAAAAAGTTATCGAATTTTTATTTTGTATGTTTGTAAAAAACACAAGAAAGGAAAAAATACAGAAATATAAAAACAATTTCAGTTCTAAGAATACCAACTGAGATTCAAACTTGGTTAGGTAAATGTAGTTACTCCCTACATGTTTCGCCCTCACGGGCTTCTTCAGGGAGAATTTATGTGGAAATTTCTACCGCCAAGGCAGTCTAAAGGTATATCAAAGGAAAATTGTTCAATTACCAAACAACTTTAATATATTTAATACAAGGTATTTAATCAATTATATATATATATATATATAGGACTCAATGGCTCACCGTGGATGTGAAAGCTCACGGAGATAGGAGAAACTGACCTAAAATAGATCTTAATTGGCCTACACGTCCAAATCAGTTGTGGAGGATATAATGGGCATCAAATATCATCTAGGCATAATGGGAAAGACAAAAAAAAAGATTAATTATATTTAACGGAAGATATGAAGAGATCATAATTCAATAGGTTGAGGTAAACTTTGGGCAATTTTACCTGTTAAATGCTTTAGAAGGATATATAGGTTTAACCTAACAAAGATCTATTTGACCTATACGTTCACAACCATAGGAGAGGAAACAATGGACATCAAACATCCATCTAGACAAAATAGGATAGACAAAGATCAGAAACTAATTTAATTTAAAAAAAGAAATCAAGAAATGTTAATGAAAATGAACTTAGGCAATTTTACTTGTTGAAAATTGCAGAGAAATATAAAAGTATATTCTGTCTAAAGGTCTAATTGGCCTATAATGTCCAAAAAAGGTTAAAGAATATAATGGGCATCAAATATCCATCTAAGCGTAACGGGATAAGGTTGGAAAATATAATGGGCATCATATATCCATCTAGGTATAAACATAGGGGGATCAAAAGATTAATTTAATTCCAAAACGGAGTATAAGGAAAGGGTTATAAGTTAATGAAGGGCTAAAGTTAAATCAATGGATTTTACCTGTTAAAATATTGCAATTCAAATAAAATGTGGGGAGAAAAGATTTTAATTGAAGATCAATTTCCAATTCCACCACTAGGTGTCAGCAAAGGACAAGAACCAGACAATATTAGCTGAAAAAACAATCACTACTGTAAGAATGCAATATAAAGCAAGCTCTCAGGTGACAAAGAAGTCACTATTTAAGTGTTCTTGTATGGCAAGACCACTTACTGTTATCTCACATATATATTCTTATTATAGCCAAATTTACCACCCTAACTCCTCCCACAGTTTTTACACTACATAGACCGATTGGTGTGCTATTACTTTGTGGAACGTTTCGCCGAATGTTTCACAAAATATCGGCGTTTTTGTGGTGAAATTGGTCCCATAGGAAAGAATGTCGGAATGTTCAAAACTAGAGTGGGAGCTGACAAAAGCTAGAGTGTGAGCTGAAAAATCAGGCCATGATTTCTAAACTGCCATCACTCCCTCATTTTCAAGCCCACCTACACAAATCTTATATCAAAACGTTCAGATATCCCCACTACCACAAAAAATGTCCAAGGCTAAGTCATAGTCCTGATAGTTTTCACAATATGACCATTTGTTTGCAACTCATGCCGCCCATTGACATTCATTGAAACTCCACTGTAGCCACCTCAAATTTGAAGGCAAATTCTAAACTGCGACCTTCATGTTTAATATTTCAGAGACATGCTATGCATCGAAATGTTGGTCTGGGTCTTGTGATTCTCACAATATAAAGCTCTTTGGTGTAGGATTTATATTTTTTAAACTACAACCGTTTGAAGATGGCAACCACCAGTGAACTGAGCAAGTTGGAGCAGTTTGTTTTTAACCGCTCTTCTCTGCCCTTGCTATAGAGTGAGTTGCCATAGGAGCCCAGGTGTGTGAGCAGGCAGCAGAGTGACGAAAGCTAGAGTGTGAGTTGTAGACTACTGGTGGAGGCAAGAACACTTCACACAATTTCCGAAGAAATTGTAGATTTTCTAGTTTTTTGAAGCCCTCCCATTAAATAGGTCAATCTAAATACCTTCATTCATATCCAAAACAGCCTCCATGATACTCAGTGTGCACTGCTGATTAGCAGAAAGACCATTTTTTAATTTCCTGCCCTCTTTTATATCCTCCACGCCGGCCGACGGTCATCGGCCGGGTGCGGACGTCTGAGGTACAACTGCGCATGTGCGAAGGCTCTACTGCACATGTGTGAACCAGTAATATATTACTACAATGAAAAACTGACAGGACATGACTCATTAAGGGAGGGAACAAAACTGGTGGAATTTCAGCAAAGCTGGATTGGATAACCACTTGCCCTCCTGAGGATTTACCCCCTTCCTGATCAGGCCTTTTTTTGCTGTTTGGCGCTGCACTAATTCAACTGATAATTGCGCGGTCATGCAATGCTGTACCCAAACGAAATTTACGTCCTTTTTTTTCACACAAATAGAGCTTTCTTTTGGTGGCATTTGATCACCTGTGCACTTTTTATTTTTTGCGCTATAAACAAAAAAAAACGTAAATTTTGAAAAAAACTGTATATTTTAATTTTGGCTATAAAAAATATATAGTAAACTCAAAGTTAGTCATAAATTTAGGCCAAAATGTATTCTGCTACATGTTTTTGGTAAAAAAAATCCCAATAAGTGTATATCGATTACTTTGTATGAAAGTTATAGCGTCTACAAACTATGGTATAGATCAGGGGTCCTCAAACTTTTTAAACAGGGGGCCAGTTCACTGTCCCTCAGACCATTGGAGGGCCGGACTATAGTTTAAAAAAAAAAAAAACTATGAACAAATGCGGACACAGTACAGGAGATGACCGGAGCAGCCTGCGGACATAGTACAGGAGATGGCCAGGGACTGCGGACACAGTACAGGAGATGACCAGAGACTGCGGACACAGTACAGGAGATGACCAGAGACTGCGGACACTGTACAGGAGATGACCAGAGACTGCGGACACTGTACAGGAGATGACCAGAGACTGCGGACACTGTACAGGAGATGACCAGAGACTGCGGACACGGTACAGGAGATGACCGGAGACTGCGGACACGGTACAGGAGATGACCGGAGACTGCGGACACGGTACAGGAGATGACCGGAGACTGCGGACACGGTACAGGAGATGACCGGAGACTGCGGACACGGTACAGGAGATGACCGGAGACTGCGGACACGGTACAGGAGATGACCGGAGGCTGCGGACACGGTACAGGAGATGACCGGAGACTGCGGACACGGTACAGGAGATGACCGGAGGCTGCGGACACGGTACAGGAGATGGACCGGAGACTGCGGACACAGTACAGGAGATGGACCAGAGACTGCGGACACAGTACAGGAGATGGACCAGAGACTGCGGACACAGTACAGGAGATGGACCAGAGACTGCGGACACAGTACACGAGATGGACCAGAGACTGCGGACACAGTACAGGAGATGGACCAGAGACTGCGAACACAGTACAGGAGATGGACCAGAGACTGCGGACACAGTACAGGGGATGACCAGAGACTGCGGACACAGTACAGGAGATGACCAGAGACTGCGGACACAGTACAGGAGATGACCAGAGACTGCGGACACAGTACAGGAGATGACCAGAGACTGCGGACACAGTACAGGAGATGACCAGAGACTGCGGACACAGTACAGGAGATGACCAGAGACTGCGGACACAGTACAGGAGATGACCAGAGACTGCGGACACAGTACAGGAGATGACCAGAGACTGCGGACACAGTACAGGAGATGACCAGAGACTGCGGACACAGTACAGGAGATGACCAGAGACTGCGGACACAGTACAGGAGATGACCAGAGACTGCGGACACAGTACAGGAGATGACCAGAGACTGCGGACACAGTACAGGAGATGGCCAGAGACTGCGGACACAGTACAGGGGATGACCAGAGACTGCGGACACAGTACAGGAGATGGCCAGAGACTGCGGACACAGTACAGGGGATGACCAGAGACTGCGGACATAGTCCAGGGGATGAGCAGAGGCTGCAGACACAGGAGATGAGCAGAGGCTGCAGACATACAACAGCGGTGGGAATACTAAGCCGGCCGCTCCATAAGATGCACAGACATTTCGCCCCAAGTGTGTCTTATGGAGCGAAATAGTGCCCCATCATTGGTGCCAGTGGGGGGAGGAATAGTGCCCCATTGTTGGTGTCAGTGGGGGGAGGAATAGTGTCCCATCGTTGGTGTCAGTGGGGGGGGGAAATAGTGCCCCGTCATTGGTGTCAGCGGGAGGAATAGTCTCCCATCATTGGTGTCAGTGGGAGGAATAGTGCCCCATCTTTGGTGTCAGTGGGAGGAATAGTGCCCCATCTTTGGTGTCAGTGGGAGGAATAGTACGTCACTGGTGTCAGTGGGGGGGAATAGTGCCCTGTCATTGGTGTCAGTGGGGGGGAGGAATTGTACCCCATCATTGGTGTCAGTGGGGGAAGGAATAGCGTTCCATCGTTGCTGTCAGTGGGGGAAGGAATAGCGTTCCATCGTTGCTGTCAGTGGGGGAAGGAATAGCGCCCCATCGTTGCTGTCAGTGGGGGAAGGAATAGTGTCCCATCGTTGCTGTCAGTGGGGGAAGGAATAGTGCCCCATCGTTGCTGTCAGTGGAGGAAGGAATAGTGCCCATCGTTGCTGTCAGTGGGGGAAGGAATAGTGCCCCATCGTTGCTGTCAGTGGGGGGGGGGAATAGTGCCCCATCTTTGGTGTTAGTCGGGGGGAGGAATAGTGCCCCATCATTGGTGTCAGTGGGGGGAGGAATAGTGTCCCATCATTGGTGTCAGTGGGAGGAATAATGCCCCATCATTAGTATCAGTGACACCAATGATGGGGCACTATTCCTCCCACTGATACTTAAATTGCAGCATCTGCATGGCACACTTACCTGTCAGCTGTCCTTCACTCCGGCCTCTCCCGCACTCGAAGTTGCGGGGCCGCTCAGCTCCGCCTCCTCGATGGTGATTGGCCACCTGTGTGCCTTTCCTGAGCCACAGTTCTGGCACCCAATCACCGGTGAGGAGGCGGAGCAGAGCGGCAGGAGTGAGGGAGTGGCCGGAGTGAATGAAGGAGCAGCGCTTCCTGGACTGGATCGTCATGGGACTGGGACCGGAGCCAGGTAAGATATAGCAAACCAATAATAAAGAATAAAGTTTAGAGGTTCAAATATATATTACTGTATCACCCAATATATGGCTTCCATCCAGTAGCCAAAAAATATGCAGACCAACAAAGAAATTTGTGAAAAGAGATTCACAAGAAAGCGGCTACATTATGGACAGAATGCGATACTCGGAAAATTTCCAAAAAATTATGCTTTATTAAACATTAATGATTGACAATAGGACAATCACCCTGGTTTACCATCACCTCAGTATGAGACAATACACACAGACCTAAAACCATTTAAAATCACACCAAGACCCGTCTGGATATATATGTGCTGCAGAGGCAGTGACAAACTTTGTCTAGAGCATTTGCAGCACATTGGTTACACACCCTATAGGAGGTTTTTCAAAAACTACTACTAATCCTTTTTCTGTAGTGGTTAAAAAATTTAATTCTATGTTAATGTTGGGTAAAGAGGCAGGCCTTCTCAGTAAAAAGGAATTCGAATATCTAAGAATTGAGGAATTTAATCATCCTACCTTTTACATTATTCTTAAAATACATAAGAATCAAGAAAATCCTCCAGGTAGACCCATTGTTTCTTCCATAAATGGTCCCTTAGATAGAACAGGGAAATATATTGACCTGTTCCTTAAAGACATGGCTCCTAATTTATCTTCTTACGTTAGAGATACTAAAGATGTATTAGCTAAAATTGAAAATCTAGTAATAGACGAAAACTCTATTCTAGTTGGATTAGATGTTGAGTCACTTTATACATCTATTCCACATAAATGCGGTTTAAGATCGATCTCCCACTTTCTTGATAAAATATACCCCTATTTGGGAGGACAAAACAAATTTATTAGTGAACTATTAGACTTTGCATTACGACATAACTTTTTTCCAATTTAACAATACCTTTTATCAACAGATTAGAGGTACAAGTATGGGGGCACCATGGGCTCCGGCCTATGCGTGTCTACATTTAGGTTTTTGGGAGGAACAGGTTGTCTTCAGGTCACTAAGGCTTCTCGCACATGCTCAGATTTGTCTGAGGTGTATTGATGATATTTTTCTTATATGGAGAGGAACATTGGAGGAATTAAAACTTTTTCTGGAGGAGCTAAATCAAAACTCCTTCAATATTAGACTCACATATGTGTTTGATGAAAGGTGTATTTCTTTTCTTGACCTTGAACTTAGACTTGAAGACAGCAGGCTCCTTACTAAAATGTTTAGAAAACCAACTGCAGCTAATACCCTATTAGAGGCTAGGAGTTATCACCCACGCTCAATGATTACAGGACAGTTTCTGAGATGTCTAAGAAACTGTTTGAATATTAATGACTTTAGGATGGAGGAGCAGGACCTTTATAAAAGGTTTAGGGAACGGGGATATTCTCACTCTCAGATTAGAAAAGCTCGGAGACGGGCATATCAAACTGACCGTAAGAGTTTATTGTCCCCAAAAAAGGATGAGAAGGTTAAATTAAGTGAGCAACCTGTTAGATTGATAACTCAATTTGGAGCTCAATGGCAGGCTGTGAGACAAATATTAGAAAAACACTGGAAGATTCTAACCCAATGCCCCAAATTAAGTAAAATTGTAGGTGAACGCCCCCAAATGGTAGATAGAAGAGCACCAAATCTTGGTGACCTCCTTATCCATTCTGACTATCAACCGTTAAAACATACAACATGGTTGAAGTCACGTACAAAAGGGATGTATAGATGTGGAAAATGCCAGATCTGTAAATTTGTAAATCGCACAGATTTTTTCTTTGATTCAAAAATAGTACTCACTATAAAATTCAAAGTCTTATAAATTGCTCCACAGCCAGAGTATTGTATATGTTGACTTGCCCTTGTAAAAAGATGCATATAGGTAAAACTAAAAGACAACTTAAAGTATGAATAGGCGAACACTTTAGAGATGTCAGATCCAATAACCCTGAAAGTAATTTAGCTCAACACTATGCTAAGCACCATGGTGGTAAATTAGATGGTACAAAAGTGAAAGGTTTTCTATGCATTACATTTTCCCCAAAGGAGAGGTGATTTTGATAAAGAATTATTAAGAAAAGAAAAATACTGGATATATAAACTTGATACACTGTTCCCAAAAGGGTTAAATGTTGAATGTGATCTCCAGGTGTTTTTGGATAAATAGCCCTATGCAGGGATTTTCTAATTAATATTGCCATCCTGTGGTGAGTTTGCGGTAATTTTTCATTTCTTTTAATGTCAATAGAACATGGTAAACCTTTCCTCTCTTTGATGTATCCAGTTGCCTGTCGTTTTAAATGTGATAAATGACCAGCTGTTGTGCTAAGTAATTTCCCATTGAGAATAGCTGCAGGTAAATAATTTGCATATTTGGGTGGGTTTAAACCCACTATAAAAAGGAAGCTGAAAGGCAGGAATCTCATTGGTCCTGACGAAGCTGAGTGAGATATGCCCATCGGCGAAACGCGTTGACGTCATACGTCAGATACGTCACTTCATGTCATGCGCATTGGCGTTATACACGCTGACCTACAAGGAGGCGGCCATTTCCACATGCCATGAGTTATGCAAAGCTGTAGTCGCCATGGAGAGAATGGAACCCGCGAGATATCAGCTGATGTAAGCGGTTGTTCCCTGGATCAATACGGCAGTACATGTGAAGGACATTTCCATTATTTACTACCCATGGCACAGGTGGTGAGTGGACTGTTACAGGAATAACGAAGAAGGCTTCTTGCTATCTATACTATATATACATCAGAGTGAAAGTACCCAGATTGACTGTCCTTATATTATTTGTCTTATTTCAGGATGGGGACACTATGATGCATTACCTAGATGCAAGGCATACAGCATATATTGCAACAAATGGAAGACCCATTTGGGCCTCATTCTATCACGTATATTAAAGTGGTTTATAGTCCACATGCTGTGGTGAAGAAACCATATAAAGCAGGGCTCTGCTATCTACATTTATTATTCCATCAAGACATCAACAGGGACTCTTTCATCTAGAAGAATTTTTGCAACGATTTGCATCTACCAAGGGTAGATGGGCCCCAACCACATGTGCCTCTATTGGGTTGTACTGCATGAATCTATATTCATATTATTGGGGTATATCCCCCCTCCCTATGCACTTTTTTACCCATATCGCCTTGAATAGGCTAAGGGTTATGTTTCTCTCTACATGGTAACTGTATTAGCTATTATGCATAGCATGTGATAATTATATTATATATACCTATGGTACAATTTTTTGAAAAACCTCCTACAGGGTGTGTAACCAATGTGCGGTGTTGCAAATGCTCTAGACAAAGTTTGTCACTGCCTCTGCAGCACATATATATCCAGACCGGTCTTGGTGTGATTTTAAATGGTTTTAGGTCTGTGTGTATTGTCTCATACTGAGGTGATGGTAAACCAGGGTGATTGCCCTATTGTCTATTATTAATGTTCAATAAAGCATAATTTTTTGGAAATTTTTCTAAGTATCGCATTCTGTCCATAATGTAGCCGCTTTCTTGTGAATCTCTTTTCACAAATTTTTGTTGGTCAAGATATAGCAACCTCCTGCTCGCCCCTGTAGTTAGTTTAGTGTCCCTTCCTCGCGACAAATACGCCCCTGCCGGCGGGCCGGATAAGTGGCCTCAGCGGGCCGCATGTGGCCCGCGGGCCGCAGTTTGAGGACCCTTGGTATACTAGATACTGCAATTTATGCCATTTTTTGCTATACAGCTC